TCTTTTCAATGAGTATAAGAGGTAGTCTTGAGAGAATACATGGATGTTACTTTAAAACAATTCTCTCTAAGCCAGTCTTAATCATCCATTTCTAGCCTTACCACAACTACATTGGCAAAAGCAATCTTTCTATTCCTAGGAAGCTAGGACTGTCACCATAAAGTAATTCTGATATGCTGTTTTTTCTGGGAATGATGCCACAATTTCCTCACAGACTTGTGGTTGAGAGAACTACTCTATCTATGGGTGCTACAACAAAATAAATAGGTGTCAGAACTGATAGACACCTCCTCTATGTCAACAGTAAAAACAGCAGGATGTTTCCAAGAGAAAGGTTATCATAATTCATGGCAGTCCTTCTATAAATAGGAAGTAAACTGTTTGAGTTAGAAATATATACCTTACTTTCTTGCCCCAGATCCTGGAAAACATAACATTTAACAATTATGAACTGATAGCAATTTATATTGTCTCCATTTCACTCTCCCACATCTTCCTCTAGGCAATTCTCTGATTCTTGGGCTGCTATTACCTCAAGATTGGAGGCTGGGCAACAGCTGAGGGTAAATAAGTGGTCTTGGGAGATATCACCTAGCACTATACAAGTGCGAAGGACTAAATTATTTTTATTTCTACAATAAAAATCACTCCAAACAATCCTAAGCCTTTTAAAGTTAACAGAATAATGCAGGACCTTGAGGGAATCAAGAGATCTATGCATTAAGACACTGTTAGCTACAGAGATATGCTGTGAAATGTGATCACTCACTGCCACAGTCAAGCTGGATCTCATAGGATGAGAGGGGAAAAAAAGAAAGGTATCATGTCACACAGGGGAAAGAGCATGTGCAAAGGCACAGAGGCATGAGTGTGTGTGGTGAGGAAATATACCTGCACAGGGTGCAGAGGGCAATCACTGAGAGGGAATCAGGGTCTGTGCTATAAGAGATCTGGGATCCCATGGTTTGCTCTCACCCCCCATGCTGCCACTCAAGAGGAAGCTTCCTTTGTCTCTCTCCTCTCTCACCAATTTCTCAGGGAAGCATGAAGCACAAAATCATAAGCATGGAGGGATGGGAACCAACCTAGAGTTATAAACCAGGATATGTAAGAAAGAGATAAAGGAAACCAAAAGATGATAAAGGGAGAAACCAGAATTAATAAGGGAAGTTGAGCTGAGGCATATACCCTTTTTCTTTCCAAGGCTCAGAAGTCATAAGACTGAATGTGGAGTCCTTGGAAGAAGAAATGAAGAAATTACACAAGCAGAAATTGTGCAAGGGCTTGGGACTTTATGCATAGAATTAAGTCTTGTTTCAGGGATGTGGGACTCAAGAGAATAGACACCCCACCCTGAGAGGGGGAAAAAATGGGAATCTGGCTACTTATTGATTTTTCTAGGTTTTAGGCTTAGGGAGAGGTAGGGGGTCAGAAGATGCCTTCGAGTGTATCCAGTCCAGCTCCCAGAGGAGCAAAACAGACAGGAACTTGGCACAGAATCTCTGTAAGCTTTCAGTTTCCTGCAGTACTGCATAGGAAGGGAGGCACCCACAGCAATCTCCACCACTACTCAGCACTATTGTGCCAGCCACCCCGGGACAATGAATCACATCAGAGAAAAGTCAACAGCTCTAACCAAGGCAGCATTACTCTCTTCAAGTAACCAAGCTCATCTGCAGCCAATTGTTGGCAGATAGTGGGTTACGTATTTACAAAAGCTTAGAAAAACTCCAATAACTACATTTCAGTTGAGCTCAATCAACTGTATCAACTGCGCTTTACTTGATGCCAAGTCCTCTGTTGAGCACTGAGGATACACAAAAAAATGAGACATGGCTTCTATCCTGAGGGAGCTCACAAGCTAGAGGTGAAGAGAGTCATCAAAACAGACAGTTAAGAAAGAGCAGTAAGTCTTAGGCGAGTGGAAACACAAGGAACTCTAGCAGCTCATGATAGGACAAGTAACCCAGTACAAGTAATTCAGGAAGGTTTCTCAGAAGGGGAGATGCATTTTTTTTTCTTTCAACATCCTGCTTCCTCACTGGGATTTAAAGGGTGAGGATGTATTAGTCAAGTGAAGAAGGAGAAAAGGTCTTCCTAGTGGAGAGAATAGCACTTGAGAGACCTTGAATAACAGTACGATGATGTGGATAAAAAGCAAGCGGCCCAATGCAGTTAAAGTACAGTATCCATAGATGGGAGAAGTTAGAAAGATAGAGACAGTTGGCATTAAACATGGCATTAAGTTTCTTTTTTTTAAAAGATTTATTTATTTATGCATACAAGAGCTGGGGCATAGGCCAAAGGTGTGGTGGGGGTGTGTGTGTGAGAGGATTCACCAAAGACAGAGTGGGGAGCAGAACAGGCAGATCTACTGAAATACACTGCTGAGGGGAGCAGCAGGTGAGACAGGAGAGGTCTGCTGTGCTATGTGGGTTGGCTCCCTGGTCGGGGATTGAACTTGTGCCACTGTGGCTGCAGATAGAGTCATAGGGCCAAGACTTAACCCCCTGCGCCACCTGGGAGGCCCAGCATTAAGCTGCTTTTTATATCAGCTAAGGAGCAGGTCACAGCAGAATATATGCAGGCAATTGTCTTTGAGGGAGGATCCCAATAAATTTTTTTTTTAAAGATTTATTTATTTATGCATACAAGAGCTGGGTACAGGCTAGAGATGCAGGGGGTAAGAGGATCCACTAGAGACAGAGTGGAGAAGAGAACAGGCAGATTGACTGAAATACACTGTTGAGGGGAGCAGCGGGCGAGACAGGAGAGGTCTGCTTCGCCATGTGGGTTTCGCTCTGGCCAGCCGGGGATCAAATTCGTGCTGCAGAGGCTGCAGATTGCTTCACAGTGCGGTGCTTAAACCCTTGCGCCACGAGGGAGGCCCCTGGATCCCAAGAAATTTTTATTTTTTTTTTTTTTAGAGGCATGTTTTATTTATTTATTTGTTTGTTTGTTTGTTTGGTTTATACATGCACTGGGTACAGTCAGAAGCGCGGGAGGGTGAGAGAATTCACCAGAGCCAGAGCGGGGAGCAGAGCAGGCAGAAGGACCGAAGTACACTGCTGAGGGGAGCAGTGGGCGGCAGGAGAGGTCTGCGCGCCATGTGGGACCCTCCTCCGGTGGCCGGGAGCAGCCGGGGATTGAACCGGCGCTGCAGAGGCTGCGGGCAGCTTCGCAACCCAGCGCTCAACCGCTGTGCCACCGGGGAGGCCCCTGGATCCCAAGAAATTTTTTAAAAAAAAAAGTACACACCCAAACAAAACTAATTTTATTTTCTGCTAATTTATGTGAGACTTTTAGAAGGGGGATGTCCCAAAATAAAACAATTCCAACAACGTACTCTGAAGGGTCGCAACTCAGAAAGGGTGTAAATCACTCCTGAATTTTTAATAGCACTTTGTATCTTCCTTTTAGCACTTGTCACTTTCTGCCTGGCACCATAATTATCTGTATCTCATCACTAATGGTGTACCAGCTTCCTCTGAGCATGAACCAGGTTGTATTCATTCATTCTGTAAAATGTTATTGCTACCCAGTCTGAACAGGCAAGGCACCCCTAATAGTGCCTAACACATAATAGATGTTTGATAAATATTTCATAACAGCATGGCTGAATGATTCTCAAAAATATTCTAATCCAGAGTTTCTCAACCTTTGTTAAGAGTTTGATAAAAGCAAAGCACTCTCTTCCCAGAAAAATACACACAGAAAAAACATTTTACATATACTATCAGGACGCACCAGGCCCTGAGGGGGAAGGTTAATTTACCCAAAGCCATGAAGCTATTAAGTGACAGAACCAAGCCCAGAACACAAACTTCCTGGCTTCCAATTCAGTACTCTTCCCACTGTAAAGTAACTGCTTTAATCCATCTGTTTCCTGCTGGGGGGCTGCCTGCCTCATCTAAGCCTCAGACATGGCCATATTCATGAAACCCTTGATATAAGGATGATGCTCAGGAAAAAATGGCAAGTGGAGTGACTTCTGCTGCCCAAACAGGTCTGGACTTCTAACAAGGGGAAAGCAGCAATGGGGTGTACATGGTCATGTGGGAGTATTAAAATAAGCCAAAGACCCAAAAGTAATGCTGAAATCTTCCAAAGTAGATAGTAAAATCTTCCTCCTAACAGTACCATTTTTTATTTATTTATTTATGCATATAAGAAGTGGAGTGTAGGCCAGAGGTGCAGGGTTGGGGAGCGGTAAGATGATTCACCAGAGACAGAATGGGGAGCTTCACAGGCAGATCTATGAAAATATACTGCTGAAATATACTGAAGTATACTGCGTCATGTGGGTTAGCTCCCTGGCAGGGGATTGAACTCATGCTGCAGTGGCTGCCAATAGCTTGATAGTGCTGAGACTTAACACCTTGCACCACCAGGGAGGCCCCTAGCTAATAGTGCGTTTATGGGAAGTGATAGAGTTGTGACTCCAAGCCAGACCTTCTGACTTTCAAGGCAGTGATGTATCCACATCACCACAAAATCCTCTGCATATGCACTGAAATCTAACCACCACACACGCACTCCTGAAACTGGGTCAGAGAAAGAGGTGCTTAGAACCAACTCCAAGTTACCTGTGATAACAAATCCAAGGAACACATATACATTTTAAATCTGCAAATACTATAAAAATCAGTACTTGCTGAAAATGTCAATCCACCTCTACTTGCCACAGACCATTCATTTAACTAAAGTGAATGTATCATTTCCACTGTGAGAGCTATATCTAACAAGAAGATGCTTTTATAAAGTATTTCAAGTAATAAACCAAAACATTTGCTAAATACCGTGATAACCTGGCCTAGGGAAAAGGTTGGGAGCTGGTAGAAACAATTCCAATCTGGATTATATCCCAACTAACCAGAGAGGAATGAGATGTGACCTCCATCCTTTCTAGCTCCACTATTATCCAGTCTACACATATCTGATCTCTGCATCTTTGCAAAAGCTGCACACCATCCTTTTCTAAAGGACTCCTGCCTCTTTACCTCTTGTTCCTTAATTAGGTGCTTGTATCTTCCAATGCCATGAGTGGGTTTTGACCTATATTGCCGACTGGTACTCAGTAGAATCCCACCTAAAAGAGAAAAATGAAAAAAACCTGTTTCAAAGCTCTCCACAGACAGACAGGTCATACGTAAGGAAACAAATTCTCCATTGCAAAACTGGTAATATCTGGAGTAGCAGAACTCTTGTGGTTTAAAGAGCCAGAGAGATTTTTTGATCCTAGGCTGACTTAGTTTACCCCCTTTTACTTTCCTTTTGGCCCCTGGACTTTATCCCAACCCCTCTACTTATCTTTCTTTGAGAAATTTTCTCCTGCTAGAGCCCATGGTGGTACAGCCATGACAGACAAATCTTTCTAACACAAATCTAATCATGTCCTTTTTCATTCATTCAACCATTTATTTACTGCACACAATTTTTTTAAGTACTTACTATATGCCAAGCACTATACCAGGTACTACAGAGACAACAATGAATGGGACAGGGAAGGTCTTTGCCACATTTCAAACTGTTTTAGTAGTGACCTACTCCTTAGGTAAGCATTTAAGAACCTTGATTTTAAATCTATTTCCAGCTACTTCATCTTCTGGTCCTCCCACTCCTCCAGGCCATTACACCTTGCTCCTCAGTCACAGAGCTACACTAGTCGTTGTATATAAGCCATGCTGTTTTCATGCCTGGGTGCCTTGCCAGGCTGTCTGTCCTGGTAAGACTACACCTCTCTTCCAGGCAAAATCCTACAAGCCTGTAGGGCCAATTCAAATGTCACGGTCTCCGTGAAACTCTTTTGCTGCCCTAAATAAAGATCATTAAGTTTACTTCACAGTTATAGTTCTCCCATGCCTCCATTCTAAGTAAAACATTGTGTGTAAATAAAAACAGAAAACTCAGATGCCAAGCACCAGTTTTAAACACACAGAAACTCAATCGCCCATCAGTGGTTTCAAAGAGCAGAACCAAAACTGCTCTTCAAGATGATGACACATCTTAGGTAAAAGTGCTGCGAATGCTTGCTCTGTCTTTGATCTACTGGAATTACTTGGCAAAAAGGCATTTTCAAATACAGTTTGGGGGCAATTCCTATAATTAAAGCAGCTGGTTAATTACCACGCTGGTTTAAAGCACTGTTAAATTAACCATTTTCCCCTTAAATGAGAGGTTTGGATCAAATTACCAAGGGTTAAACAGCTTAATAGGCAATTTCAATTATGAAGTTTACAAGTTTGAAAGCCTCTCATTTCCAATAAGTTCAACTGGATTTTTCCCCCTGTGTCATTAAGCTGGGTTTCCTGCTGTCACATTAACATTGCAGCTTCAGAAGAGAAAATACAACTCCTTTTCACTAAAGAAGACACAAAACTCCAGGATCTCAAAAGGAGACCTTGAAAATCTTCTAATTAGCACAATTATAGGATGTTTCATGCGTTGATTTCTCCCACACGACACCCCTCTCCTTCATATATGGCACAGTCAACAGTCCTTCAATGTCCTTGTTTACTAAACTGGGAACTAATACCATCAGTCCAGGACAGAAGAAAAACAACTTCATTTTAATTATTTCTCCTTCAGAACCGGAACTAGCATTTTTAGCAGGGCTATGCAGGAATTTTTAGCAGGGCCCCAGCCAAGAATCTAATTATAAGATATTCTCTCCATTCAATAGACTGTAAGTCCCTGAAGGGCAGATATTTCTCAGCACCTGGTTAGTAGTATGTTCTCAGTAAGTGTATATTTAAGAAGGAAAAGAAAAAGATCCTTAGGATAGTGTACCAAGACAATCTGAAATGATTTGGCCCTGGCAGTTACCTACTTTTTTCAAAATTTCTTTTCAAACTTTGTTCTTATTACACTGAATTACTTGGACTTGAATGTACCAAGTTTCTCTGACTCTATCATTTTTCTCAGCTATAATAACAAGATTCAGCATTCCCTTCATTTAAAACCTTTAGGTTTTCATACACAAGATACATACTATGTACTTATTTATTTATTTACTTATTTCTACCTTTCCATGTATGTTTAAACCGTAAGAAAAACACAGCCATTACAATCAGGTCCTTCCTTGGAAAGAGCAGCTGGGAATGCACCCTGAGCTCACACAGAGTATGACTGGTAGAGTGAGGAATGGCGCACCACTCCCAAATCTTCTTTTTTGAACATCTGTATAATCCAAATTTGAAATTTCTGATTTTAAAGATACCTGAAAGAACTCATGAAAAATGCCTTTCAAGTAGAACTACCTTGGTGTGCTGATGCTGTAAATTGTCCTGTGCCTTGCAGCCTTCTAGGCACTGGGATTCCCTGAACACAAATGAAAAATGGACAAAGAAAAGGATAAATGGCCAGTAAATGCATGAAAAATGCCTAACTAACTAGAAATAAAAAACATGCAAATTGGGCCTCCCTGGTGGTGCAAGGGGTAAGTCTCAGCACTATGACGCTTTGGACAAACAGAGCAGCACGAGTTTGATCCCCGGCCAGGAAGCTAACCCACATGGCGCAGCAGACCTCTCCTCTCACCAGCTGCTCCCCTCAGCAGTGTATTTCACTAGATCTGCCTGTTCTGCTCCTCACTGTCCCCGGTGAATCCTCTCACCCCACCTCTCCCAGCCCTCCCCGCACTTCTGGCCTATGCCTCAGTTCTTGTATGCAGAAATAAATAAAGTTTACAAAAAAAAAAAAAAAATCACAAAAACAATAGCATTTTAAAATGTATAATATTAGCAAATATTTAAAAATAATACACTAATTACCAATAAGCATGTAAAAAGGGCTTCTCAAAAACCAAATAAGTATGAAATGGTATAATTCTTCTCAAGAGCAATTTGGTAATATGCATCAATAGCTTTAAAAATGTGTATTTCCTTTGACCCACCAGTTTGACATTTACAAATATATCCTAAGTAAATAATCAGACAAGGGCACAAATAATAGTGTACAGGGATGTTTATTATAGTATTGTTTATATCCAAAATCTCAGAGACATCTTAAGTTTCTCCAAACAGAAAACTGAGTAAATTATGTTATTTATTATCCACACCATTCTTTTCTTTTGGGTATGGAGATGCTCAACTTTTTTCTCATATAAATTAATAGTAACTATTATCCCCAGACCCAAAAAATAACCTACCAAATCATACAAAATAGCAAGTTCTTCTTTTGGATAGCGGGAAAACCTGTATTGTTCTTTAACAGAATGAAGAGAATGTACTTATTTCTAGAAATGCATGCTGAAGTATTCAGAAGTGAAATCGCATTAGATCTCATAAAGAAAGTTAACATGACAAGATGTCAACAACAGTTCAATCTAAGGGGTTGGTATAGAAGTGTTCATTGTATTATTCATGGAGGAAAAAAATCTTTCTTGCAATACTGTAAGCTCCTAAATGGCAAGGACTTAATTTTGTACCCTCCAGTACATAATACACCGCCTAATACAATAAATGTTTGTTTAATAAATAAAAAGAAAACCATTATTTGACATGTTGAACTTTGGGGCTGGTAGAAATGGTGATCTCTAAGCATTGCCACCATCTTCTAGAATAATGAACAAATGTAGAATTTCTTATACACTACCTAGCACATTTTAGGCATTCGATAAATTTTAGTTCCCTTCCTTACTTCCATTCCTTTGCCCCTGATACTCCAGTCAAAAGCTGGATGTCATGAAAATCCAATAACTGCTTTGAAATTTGTCACATGATAGACAAAGCCAAGAAATCAAGTAGCTGGGTTGAGAGAGAGGCTGATATTCATTGAGTTAACCAGATTGAGTGACATTCATTTTGTTTTTTTTTTTAAAGATTTATTATTTATGCATACAAGAGCTGGGGTACAGGCCAGAGGTGTGGGGGATGAAAGGACTCACCACAGACAGAGTGGGGAGCAGAACAGGCAGACTGACTGAAATACACTGCTGAGGGGAGCAGTGGGTGAGTCAGGAGTGGTCTGCTGTGCCACGTGGGTAGGTCCCTGGCCGGGGATCGGACTCATGCTGCAGTGTCTGTGGGTAGCTTCATAGGTTATATCTTAACCCCTTGTACCACCAGGGAGGCCTGAGTGACATTCACTTTGGATAAAATACTGTAAGAAAAGCCTAAGCCTACTACATGACAGCAATGGAAGACAGGTCTAAAATAGAGGCAGTAGTGAATAATAATAGGAATAATAGTAATAGCAAACTTTTTTTTTTAAAGATTTCTTTTTATTTATTTATGTATACAAGAGCTGGGGTATAGGCCAGAAGTGTGGGGTATGAGAGGATTCAACAGAGACAGTGTGGAGCAGAACAGGTGGATCTACTGAAATACACTGCTGAGGGGAGCAGCAGGCAAGACAGGAAAGGTCTGCTGCGCCATGTGGGTTAGCACACTGGCCAGGGATCAAACTCATGCTGCAGTGGCTGGCGATAGCTTGATAGCGCTCAGACTTTAACCCCTGCACTACCAGGGAGGCCCCCAATAGCAAACCTCTTTGAGCATATTATGTAATATATTTCATTAATCTTCAAATAACTCACAGTAATTTGTACTATAACTATCCCAATTTTTTAAGTACGGAAACTAAGTTATAGAGAAGTAGCCAAAGGTCACAGAAAAATATGCTCATGCTCTGAATTACTACTTCATGTTCTCACCCACTGTCCTAGTTCATGTGAGGGGTAGGATTTGGTCCTGGTCACTCTTCTCAAAGATATGTTAGGCATAATTCTACATAATATTATTACAGAGAATTAGATGATCACTTGAAGAAAAGAGACTACATCAGAAAATAACTGCTTACCTGCAGAACAGATGGGATTGTCTCCTGAAATTCTGGACCAAAAAAGAGGGAGAAAGTATGTTGAATACAATTAGATACCCAAATAAAATTTTCAGTTATCAAAACTTGTATGATTCTCACTAACAATATGTCAAAACTAGGTATTTTTTATTCATTCCTTCCCTTTGTTCCACAAACATTAAGTACACTATGTGCCAGACAATGTGCTAGGTCCTGAGGATTCAAAAGTAAGTAAAATGCCTGTACAGTCTAGCTGTGAGAGATACATGTAAACAAATACGTGCCACAGTATAGAACTGATCCAGAACAAAAGCTTACACAATTTGGTAGAACATGAAGAAAAGTGTGATCATTCCCAACAAAGAGGTCAAACTATATGATCTGACATTTTAAAAATGAAGAACTGCTCTCAACTACACATTCTTGGCAGAGATTTGAAAGTGGTATCCCGGGAAGAGCAAGCAGCTGAATGTGAATGGAACTTAAGTGGCAGGAAAAGGGGTGAGGGAATTTAGATAATCAGGGACCAGATCATAAAGGGCCTTGTATGCTGTGCTAAGGAGTTTGATCTTTACTCTATGTCTTGGCAGATTTTAAGCACAGGAGTGACATTATCATTTAAGTTTGGGGGAAAAAATCTTTTTAAAATTTTGGAAAATTAACCCTGACAGCAAAGCAAGTAATGACTGAGAAGAAGTGAAACTGAAACAAGAAAACCAGCGAGGTGGTTCTTACAATAACCCAGAGAAACAGGACAAGCCTTGTAATAACATGCTGAGGGAGGACAGAGAGGAAGGAACAGCAATGACAGCCAGACTGGACACAGAAGCCAGAGAATGAGAACACAAAGGAAAATATATGGCTTCATTTGGGTGACCACATAATATGAATATTTTACTTCAGTATCTTGAGAAGCTTTGAAACTAAATTGTAGACCAAGGTGGAAACAAACAGATCTGTGATTAAATGCTGACGCTACCATTTCCAAACTGCGACCTTAAGCAAGTTGTTTTATACCTTTGTAGTTCAATTACCTCATCTTTATTTTTTTTAAAGATTTATTTATTTATGCATACAAGAACTGGGGTACAGGCCAGAGGTATGGGGGGTGAGAAGATTCACCAGAGACAGAGTGGGGAACAGAACAGGCAGAAGGACCGAAGTACACGCTGAGGGGAGCAGCGGGTGGCAGGAGAGGTCTGTGCGCCATGTGGGACCCTCCTCCGGTGGCCGGGGAGCAGCAGGGGATCGAACCGGCGCTGCAGAGGCCACGGGCAGCTTCGCAACCCAGCGCTCAACCGCTGCGCCACAGCGAAGGCCCCTCAGAGAAAGTTATTATCCTCTCTAGATCTGTTATTTATGTATAAATAACTATTATACATAATAGTTACCTGTACCTACCAGATATTACCTGTATTATTACCTGTACCTACCAGATAACTCTGAGGATCATTCATTCATTAAATTATTATTTATTAAAATGCCTATTATGTTTTAGATACCATTCTAGGCCCTAGAGATATTGCAGTGAACAAAATTAACAAATTCCTTACCTACTTGATGCTTATATTCCAGTGAGTAGGGGGGCACAGAAAATATATTTTATATGTATATGTAAATGTGTCACATACATGTGTGTCATGCACACATATAACAAATGTATCAGGTGGTGACACCTGTTAACAAGAAAAATAATGCAAGATAAGAAGATAAAAACTGATAGTGGGTGGGGGTGGAGCTATTTTACCATTTTAGGGCAGTCAGGGAAGACATCTCTGGTGAGAAAATATTTGGGCACAAACCTGAATAAAGCAAGAGGGATATCTAATGCAACACTGTGCAAAATCTTGCAGTGGGAGAATGCTTAGATCAGCAAGGAATAGAAAGGGAACCTTTCCAAAGTGTGGCTAATGCTGACTAAGCATAGTATATGATGAGGGAACAGATTATGTAAAACCTTATAGGCCATGGTAAGAATTGCAAATTTTATTCTGAATTAGATGGGAATCCATCAGAGAGTTCTGGGACAAGTGTCATGAGCTAATTTTTTTTTAAAGGTTTATTTATTTATGCATACAAGAGCTGGGATACAGGCCAGAGATGTGGGGGGTGAGAGGATTCAGAAGAGACAGAGTGGGGAACAAAACAGGCAGGCTGACTGAAATACACTGCTGAGGGGAGCAGCGGAAGAGACAGGAGAGGTCTGCTGCACCATGTGGGTTGCTCCCTGGTAGACTGGGGATCCAACTCGTGCTGCAGAGGCTGCGGATTGCTTCATAGTGCGGTGCTTAACCCCTTGCACCACCAGGGAGGCCCTCATGAACTAATTTGATTGTAAAATAATCACTGATTTTAGGGCCTCCCCTGGCTGCGCAGCGGTTGAGCGCTGGGCTGCAAAGCTGCCTGCAGCCTCTGCAGCGCCAGTTTGATACCCGGATGCATGGCTCGCAGACCTCTCCTGCCACCTGCTGCTCCCCTCAACGGTATATTTCGTCAGTCTGCCTGTTCTCTTCCCCGCTCTGGCTCTGGTGAATTCTCTCACCCTCCTGCGCTTCTGACTGTACCCAGTGTTTGTATAAATAAATAAAGAAATCTTTAAAAAAAATAATAACTGATTTTAGTGTGAAGGATACAAGACAAAAGTAAAAATAAATCAGCTGGTTAGAAGGTAGAATGATGATAAAGAAGATGAGGAGAGGAGGAATTGGTCCCTAGCAGTTTAGCAAAATAGAAAGTATGAAAGCCAAAAGTGGACGTGATAGATGATTCAATTCTGTGTATATATCACAAGTAGAGAAGACAGCATTTATTAAAGAATTGGATGTGAGGGCCTCCCTGGTGGTGCAAGGGGTTGAGCACCACACTGTGAAGCAATCCACTGCCTTTGCAGTGCGAGTTCGATCCCCAGCCGGCCAGGGAGAAACCTACATGGCGCAGCAGACCTCTTCTGTCACCCGCTGCTCCCCTCAGCAGTGTATTTTGGTCAATCTGCCTGTTCTGTTCCCCCCTCTGTCTCTGGTGGATCCTCTCAATCCCCACATCTCTGGCTTATACCCCAGCTCTTATATGCATAAATAATCTTTAAAAAAAAAAAAAAAGAATTGGATGTGAGACAAATAACAATTTCAAGGGCAACTCTGACCTGAGCAACCAGAAGGATGGAGGTGTCAATTACTGAGAACAGGGAATGAGCAAGATGGCAGGGGAGTTAATGCTTGAGATGCTTATGAGACATACAAATAGAGATGAAAGAAAAATGTTGAGTGAACTATCTAGCAGAATGAAAATATTAGCTATATTTCATTATTGTTATTAATATTCTTACCTTAAGAGGGAAAAGGCTTGTTTTAAAATGGTATCATTCCGCAGATATAGCACCTACAGAGAAAACAGCCATGTTAGGGCAATCTTAAGCAATTACAGAATTCCATGCATCTCTTCACAAAGAAGCCAAATAACCACAAATGGTTTGTATAGTTGGCACACAAATCAAAAAAAGGACCCAAAGGCTCTATCTAGCAGGGTTGTCTTACTGCCAATATAAAAAATGCGGGTAAACCAAGGTTATCTTCTTTCCCACCCACTCCAGAAAATGCTAAAAAAACCCAGAAATCCCAGGGCCTCCCTGGTGGCGCAAGGGGTTAAGATGCATCACTATGAAGCTATTCCCAGCCACTGAAGCACCCGAGTTCGATCCCCGGCCAGGGAGGTTACCCACATGGCACAGCGTACCTCTCCTGTCATGCCCGCTGCTCCCCTTAGCAGTGTATTGCAGTAGATCTTCCTGTTCTGCTCCCCACTCTGTCTCTGGTGAATCCTCTCACCCCTTGCATCTCTGGGCTGCACCCCAGCTCTTGTATGCATAAATAAATAAATCTTTAAAAATAAGAAAATAGAAATCCCTCTTTCATGGTGCTTTTTCTTTTTTCAAGCTATCTCCCCTTTGGTAGTTTTTTCTAATATCAGTAAACAATTACTATGCACCTGTCAAACACAGGCACCAGGTGAGAGACTCTCTTTACCCTTCTCTAATTCTCAAAATTCACTGCACGCCAACTTTACAGATGAGGTAACTTAGGCCCAGAGAGGTTATATTCTAAGATATCATAGGTAGTAAGTGGCTAAGAAGACCGTTTTACTCCAAAGGCAATGCCTCTATTACAGCACACTGTCTCTCTCAATAATGATGATGATGATACCAACATCAACAACACAATAATGAAAGGGGTAAAAATGCAGAGGCAGTTTCCCTCCATAAACCTCCTTTTCCCCAGGTACTTAAATCTCACTCTGCTCTGCTAGCATCCAATCAAAAATCTGTTTAACATAGAATCTTTTCATAAAGTAACTAAATAATAAATATAAAATGTCCATAATGTACCATAATACAAATAGAAAATTCCCTCAACTATGCAACCATGGGCAACAATTTCAGTTCTTTCAACATGTATGTTTTTTTTTTTAATAGAGGCATGCTTTTTATTTATTTATTTGTTTGTTTGTTTCGTTTATACATGCACTGGGTACAGTCAGAAGCACTGGAGGGTGAGAGAATTCACCAGAGCCAGAGCAGGGAGCAGAGCAGGCAGAAGGACCGAAGTACACTGCTGAGGGGAGCAGCGGGCGGCAGGAGAGGTCTGCGCGCCATGTGGGACCCTCCTCCGGTGGCCGGGGAGCAGCCCGGGATCAAACCGGATCCCCAGCCACCGGTGAGGGTCCCACATGGCGCGCAGACCTCTCCTGCCGCCCGCTGCTCCCCCTAGCAGTGTATTTCATCAGTCTGCCTGCTCTGCTGCCCGCTCTGGCTCTGGTGAATTCTCTCACCCTCCCGCATTTCTGACTGTACCCCAGTGCTTGTATAAATTAATTAATTACTTAATTAAAATAAAAATAAATTTAAAAAAATGTAATGTGGTATCCTGAATGGGAACCTGGAATGGGAAAATGGCATAAAATAAAATAATAATAATAGTAATAAATATAAATAAAATATTAAATTTTATAAAAATGCATTATAGTAATATAATAATAAAAAAGCTGGCTATGGGCTATATAGGAATTCTCTATAGTATCTTTGCAACTTTGCTGTAATCTTAAAACTATTCTAAAATAAAACTTATTTTACTGTGTGAACATTAAAGGGAAGATAAAAATAAATTGTTATAATATGAATCTTGAAAACACTACACAAAATGAAAGAAAACAGTCACAAAGGATCAATTATTGTGATTCCATTTATATGAAATACCTAAAATAGACAAATCTATAGAGAAAGTAGATTAGTAGTTGCCTAGGGTTGGAGGATCTGGGGAGTTGGGGAATAACAGCTAAGGATATGAGATTTCTTTCTGGGGTGATGAAAATATTCTAAATTGGTAATGGTGATCTGTACAACTCTGAATATATTAAAAGCCATTGAATTGTATACTTTAAATCAGTGAATTGATGATATTTGAATTACATCTTATTAAAGCCATGTAAAAAATGTAAGCACAATCCGAACAGGAGTTTGGATGGTTGGAAATAGAAATCCAGGTGGATAAGGGCAAGATTTTTTAGCTTTTATAGTGTTATATCTGCTGATAAGAGTCTGTTCAAAGTCATGAATCTTCTCCACAGACAAATGAATATATCCACGGATATATAAAAGTTTTCATATTACTTCAAAAGTTTCACTTAACACCCTCAGACCACTAGATCAAAAGATATACAGGGGGCCTCCATGGTGGTGCAGGGGTTAAAGTCTCAGCAATATCAAGCTATTGCCAGCCACTGCAGCATGAGTTTGATCCCTGACCAGGGAGCTACCCACATGGCATAGCAGACCTCTCCTGTCTTGCCTGCTGCTCCCCTCAGCAGTGTATTTCAGTAGATTCATCTGTTCTGCTCCCCACTCTATCTCTGTTGAGTCCTCTCAACCCCCGCACTTCAGGCGTATACCCAAGTTCTTGTGTGCATAAATAAATAAAATAAATCTTTAAAAAAACAAATCTATAGGGGCATGGGTCATGTTGATTTCTTCTCAACCACTTGGTAAACAATCAATAAAAGTTTGTTTTAGTGAATAAACAAATAATTAGAAGTAAATAAGTGAATGAGTGATAATCATTCCTACCCCTTTATTAAGCATCAATTTTTTGAGCATCTACTATGTGTCTAAATCACAATATCCTTACAAAATAAACATATTATCCCATTTTACAGTTAAGAAACTGAGACTCAGTAAATTTATCTCACAAAGTTACTGTGAAAACTATCATTAGGTGTTATTTTTCTGACTCCAAAGCCATAATTTTCCTACTCTTTAGCACCTTCTCTCAGATAAATGAATGGGGGAAATGCTCAAATTTAGAAAAGGTTTCCAGCAGAATGTGAGGACATGAAGATTGGGAAGGAAATGAATAGATGGAAGGAAGAGCAAAGTATGTAGATAATCTTAAAAATTATACTTAAATCAGATAGTAAATGCTTTGTAAAGTATGTATGCAATATGTTTAACCAAATATTGGGTCAGCATAAAGAGGAAGGAATTGGGAGCCCCAGGAGAGAGGAGCTCTGATCAGCTCTCCCACCACTAGCCACCATACTGTAGCTAGTACTTCCTTCTTTGGACTTAGAGCAAATAACGCTAAGGACCCTTCAGGCTCAACCATGATGAACAGAACAGATACCATAGCAAACAGAATATATTCTTAAATGGGTCACTTCATACAGAAGAAGTACTGTATGGCAAGAAAGATCTAGATAAGACTGACTTTTCTTCGGTTTAATTGTTCAGATTTCTGAGTTTCTATAGCAGCTAAGGATTTAATTATCTAAAAGCCAGACTTAATGGCTAACAACTTTTTGGAAGGCATTCAAGCTGTGGTGTGACTTCTCCCTTTCAGCTCTGGCAGATGAAATGTGTGTCCTCTCCCCTGCAATGTTTGGCATTATTTATCAGGATAAAAGTAATCTATTTTGGGACTGTATCCACAAATACACCCTCCCCCACTCAGCAAATGAAAAGCAGCTCCCACTCTGAAGCTAAAGGAAGAAGACAGCAGTGGTGCTAGTGAATGAATGAATGAGGACATAGCTGCTGCAGTAAGTCACAAAAATAGTTGTCTCATGAGCTCAGGAGCCAGAAAGCAGAAAAGGCCTGCATAACTATCAAAGAAACAAAGTCATGGGAGAAAATCTAGAGTGTGTGAGTAGCTTCAGAAAGAATCCCAGAGTGGGTAGTCACAGCAGTGGGTCAGGGGCCCATGGGGTAAGCAACTGAGAGCTTTTTTAGTTATATTAACAGAATGTACTCTGTTACATACTAATGAATATTACTTAAGATTATTTAAAACAGCATTATTGAGTCATAACATAAGACAGTATTTTAAGTGATAGGTCACTATCACTTGCAGAGGACATCTTTCGTGTTAAGCATTTTACACATATTACTTCGAATAGTCTTTACACCAATTCTCCGGTAGAGGATAATTGAGATAATTGCCTCTGTTTTATAAAGGAAAAAACAGAGGCTTGGGTAAATGATCCAAAGTTTGATAAGAAATGTCAAGAATTCAAATTCAAATCTGACTGAATCCAAAGCCCATATTTTCCATTCTCCCACACTACCTCTTCAAGGTGTAATACCAATTTATGTTGATGAAATTTGTATACTATAAGAACATGAATAATAATACCATTTGTTGAGCACCTGCTACATACCAAATGTCATTTCCTTTAATCCTTACAATGATCCTGTGAGATTGCTATTTCTATCCCATTTTATTACGAAGAAATAAAGCCCAGAAAGATGAATAAATCAGGCCTCCCTGGTGGTGCAAGGGGTTCAGATGCAGCTTATGGCGCTATCTGGAGCCACTGCAGCATGAGTTGGATCCCCAGCCAGCCAGGAAGCTACCACATGGCATAGCAGACCTCTCCTGACTCGCCCGCTGCTCCCCTCAGCAGCGTATTTCAGTCAGTCTGCCTGTTCTGTTCCTCACTCTGTCTCTGGTGAATCCTCTTACACTACCCCCTGTCCCCCACATCTCTGGCCTGTGCCCCAGTTCTTGTATGCATAAATAAATGTTTTTAAAAAAAAAAAGGGGCCTCCCCGTGGCGCAGCGTTGAGCGCTGGTTCGAAGTGCCCGTGGCCTCTGCGGCGCCGGTTTGATCCCCGCTGCTTCCGGCACCGAGGAGGATCCCACATATGGCAGACCTCTCCTGCCGCCCGCTGCTCCCCCACAGTGACTTCGTCCTTCTGCCTGCTCTGCTCCCCACTCTGGCTCTGTGAATTCTCTCACCCTCCCGCGCTTCTGCTGTACCCAGTGCAGTATAAACAAAACAAACAAATAAATAAATAAATAAAACATGCCTCTTATAAAAAAAATTAAAAA